TGAACCGGCTTGGATCGCCGGTGAAGTTCGCGTAGGCGTCAGCTACCAGCAGGAGCGCTCTCTTTGTTCTGTGCATCGGCGGCATCTTGCTGTTTGTCCTCGTAGTTGGCCGGACGGCCGACGAAGTAGCCTGTGCGTAGCAGAAGCCAGAGCTGCTTAGCGCAAAGAATCGCGGCCGGGCAGGCTAGATCAGCAGATCTGAGGACACGGATGAGCGGGAAAATCTTGAGATGTTCCGCCGTCGTCCATGTCGGATTCAAGGCGTTGACCTACTGTTCTGGGCTTCTAGGGCAGAGAGAGAGAGAGAGGGAGACAGATGTTGTGAGGATAGATGACACGTACGTACCTCCGGTTGCCTAAGGATACAAACACGTATAAGACTAACAACTACTAGTTGATTACCTTTTAGACGAGTAACAACTAGTTGGAACTAACAACTAATCCTGCTAGTCTATTCAAACAGACCACTCGACCGTTGTTTTTAATGGAAGAAACCCCTAAACTACAATTACTAAATCCGCCCGTGCGGGTTCGTCTCTCTATGACTAACTGACATGATTAAGGAAAATCCACATTTAACTCACAAAAAGCATTATATCGATAACTAAAGCATTATTCTAGAAAAGTCGATGGCGCTTGTAAGAAAAGAGGAAGCAGCGTAATGGAATTGTAGTTTCATTGAATAATCTTCAAAAACTCTGCATCAAGTATATCAATTGTAGAGGGAAAAAGTATCAGCTTTTTCATTATAGGACAATAATGCAATCCAGGTATAGAATGAAGCTCATCATCCCCGTCCTGCAGTTTACTTGAATCCTCTCACCCGTTGACTAGGCTCCGCCGCTCCGACAACAGCTCTGGATCCTATTGCTCGGAAGCTCGACTACCACAGATGCACGGGAACCTGCAGCCCGAGACGGAGAAGAAAGAGATTATATTATCCCATCACTAATCAATTCAATAGCTGTACTAGTAGTAGAAAAAGAACAAAAAAATTAATTACCATCTGGCCAGGAAGCTTGATCTGTTCTTGGGAGGAGGCTGCCGAGTCGGAGATGCAGCTAGCTCTTTTGGTTGCTGCGTCTTGTCAGGGTTCACTGGGGGGCCCACGAAATAATTGTGCGTTGCTGCAAACACGTACAGGACGCTGTTTAGTTTGGAGTTTTAAACTGAGCAAGAGAGCTATAGAGCGAATCGATCTCAAATGATGAATTTAGCTAGTAACAACTGAGCAAACAAGCATGTACGGACCAGGAGCTTGCGCAGCGCCGGTGACCTGCGGTGCTTGTTTCGTTGCCGGCGCCGCCGGTTCCGGCGCTGTGTACGTCTCTGGGGGACCAACGTAGTAGTCGCCTGAAGAGAGTGGGCAGAGAAGGAAACAAATGTATGGCTGAATGGCTCAGTCCCAGGATACAAGTCGAGAAGGCACATACAATTCATCAGGATGCAACAAAATTAGCAAACAACAAGCGCCAATCATTACTCTGTGAAAGAGGTTGGCAGATCAAATATACGATGACTAACTAGCAGAGAAATGGCCTTTCATCTACTTCGATTTTAGGCTTTAGTCTCAATATTTTTTGCGTCCGGGAGTAGAGGGAGAATTAGTCCCGGTTGAAGCTACCAACCGGGACTAAAGGCTCCTGTCCTGTCAGGCTTTCGCAGTCCCGGTTGAAGCTACCAACCGGGACTAAAGGCTCCTGTCCTGTCAAGCTTTCGCAGCATGCCACCTTTAGTCTCGGTTGGAGCCTAAAACCAAAACTAAAGGTCAACCTTTTAGTCTCGGTTAGTGTTACCAACCCGGGACCTTTAGTCCCGGTTGGTAATATCAATCGGGACTAAAGGGTGACCTTTTAGTCCCGGTTGGTATCACCAACCCGGATTAAAGGTCTTTCATCCGGGACTAAAGGTATCCCATGGGTCAATTCAAAAGGAGAGTGTCCAGGACTCTGTCACATGTGGTGTACAACTGAGTTGGCAAGGAGTTTATCTTGAGAGGAGAGGTCCGAGAGTTGAATCTCATATACCGCAAGAGAGGTCTCCCTAGTATTTTGTTTATTTTTTCTCCTGGGGATGGACCTTTAGTCCCGGTTATATATATGCCCGGGACTAAAGATCCCAACCTTTAGTCCCGGATTGCTAGTCCCGGTTGGAAAACCGGGAGTAGAGCTGGTTTCCAACCGGGACTATATCTCATTTCTCCACAATAAGATGAGTTGATCGAGTTTACCATTACCAGGTCACACTAGACAGAGAGACTGATCGATCGTAGATAGACAGAGATCACTAACCGTTGCTCATGGTGGATCTCCAGGAGATTAGCTAGCCACAGGTGCCACCACCGCTCTTTGCCGATGGCGACGAGCAGCGCCACGGGGCCGAGAGGATATTAGCCGGACGAGGACGATCGGAGACAGAAGTTAGAGAAGTGCAGGGAGAAGAAGAATGTTGCTGGAGTCTTGGAGATGCCTTCGCCCAGGATGGCAATGGTTCAGCTCGAATGCCTGTAGGTTGTTGTTATCGACCAATTTTGACCAGGTCTACGTCGCCACCAGGGGTCCACACGGTTGCTTCGTCGAGCTCTCATCACACTAGTGTGAAACTGCTGGGCGTAACAAGAAACTAAAGGCTGACTCCACTGAGCTTGTCGGCATTTCTGTGTGGTGTGTGTGGCGCTGTGGCGTCGCCCATATATATATATATTTTTTTTGTCCAAAATATTGGATTTCGTCCCACAACCGTATCTACCAGAAACCACTTTGCACTCTCTTTAGTTTTTTTTAGTAAAGTCTAGTAGAGCGCAACCTCTCCTGTTTTCTCTTCAAAAAAGAAATCATATCTATCCAAAGATTCAATCTATGTTCTCTAATTATATACGGTGTTAAAAGAAATTCTTGCTACATTGTGTGAAGAAGCCACAGTTAGTGAAATAAAAAATAATGATTCAACTGCTGGCTCCTAATTTATTTTGAGTGCACGGAGAGAAAAACAACTTCTCCCTACAATATATGGAAGCCGCTCCAGGGTGTCTCATTCTTCTTGAAGAGATGCCAGGGAGAGGCAGCCAAGGCAGCAGCTAGCTAAAGCTGGCTGCCAGCCAGCAGAATCCGCCACAAAGCGATGGTCTAGGGAGATGCTCCCGGTACAATTTTGTGAGAGAGAAATTGGTGACAAAGAGAGGATGGGTAGAGAGGGGTGCCTTACAATACAATTATGGATAACACAAACTTGGTTGAGAAAATAATTAATCATCCAACTTGGAGCTCAAGTAGGAATGCAACCGGTTGTCCAGTGGGTGGCTCTTGGTCGCTGCATTGGTCCATTTTTTTTTCACTTTTCTTGCTTTGAAATTGGAACTACTAAACCCTAAACATGCATCGGCAAATACTTAATTTGGTTGATCTCCGGGAGATTAGCTAATTTGATTAATCACTAACCATAGTTAATTTGATTAATCACTAACCGTAGTTAATTTGGTTGAATTTTAGGCCAAGTGACATGGGAAAAGAAAACATGCATGCCAATCCAATGCATATGTAAAAAACAAGGCATATTCGCCCATCGCCAGCAGTCCTGCACCCACCATAGCCATCCCATGCCAGTTGCCAGCACTACTTCAGTAGCACTTTTCAGCGAACGAACAATGTTTCTCTCACAACAAATTAGTATAAGCATCAGCATAAGCTAAATTTCAGCGAAACGAACAGGGTATGCAGCTGCAAAATGTGAAATGTCACATGTACCAGTCTACCAGAAGATGGTTTATTGGCTATACATGATTAAAATTGGCATTCCAAACCGAAGTTAACGAGTCACATTTGATTTTAGTAAGTTGCAATTTGGCTTAATCTCTGCCATACATAATTTTGCATGCTGTACTTTCTTAGCTGATGATTCTTCCACCTGCTGGAAGGCACGTTATTTCAAATTTACATAGTACGTGGTTCACTGGGTCACGTTTTTCAAACATGCCTAAATCCAAAGGTTGGGGACAGTCTACAGAGAATTGAAAGCACCAGTTCCAAAGTACATACTCCCTCCGTCCCTTTATATCTGTCACCATTGGTGTACGTGCCACAAGTTTGACTCGATTTATAGAAAATACGTGCAACATTTGTATCTCTAAATAAATTTATTAAAAAACTAGATTCAAAGATCTTTCCAATGATACTAATTATGTACTATAAATATTAATATTTTTAATATATATTTAGTGAAAGTTGTTTATCGGGAAACACAAACGACAGATATTTAGGGACAGAGAAATACTTCTGGCAGGATAAATATTCCTACATCCTACAGGCAATAGTCACTTGTCAGCATTCAAAAATACTGTAGCTGTACCATCGAAATCAGATATAACTCCCACCTGCTGGGTCATTTGTAACTTCCTGGGTTTACAAGTAAATATTGCAGTATATGGGGTTCCTAGATATACCATTGTGCAATTTTGGGTAGCATATCCATGTTCTGAGAAAGAGTATACCTTGGGTGCCAAAATGACTGGTCGATTCCTAGTCCACATGGACATGAATATCATTATAATAAATCGAGTAAAATGTACAAATATAGGTTAGAATGGAACAATAGTGAAGAAGTGGTACCAAATACTAAGGCAGGGGCAGAAACACCTTCCCAATGGAAAAAGAGCTGCAATTCAAGCACAGGGGCCTGTTAAAGCAGAAACTGAGATTCCAGTAGGAGAACACCTACTACCTTGATGAGAAACTGACAGCAGAGGAATATAATGTTCATTCAAAACAAAATGGGCACTTGGAAACATATATAGAATGAATAGTTACATTTAATCGCACTTCTGGTAGTATAATGAACAAGTGGTATCGTAGGAAACGAGAACAGAGCAGCTTTCCGGATAGCAGCAGAGGTTGCCCTTGAGGTACAGTCAGATCGCCGCGTCTCCCTGACTTGACTCCATACGCATTACAAAGGGTACTCGAATCTTGGAGAGTGTGAATGCTGTGCACGGCCGGCCATGCCGATCAGCTAGCTCTCCACTCGGCCGCCGGAGAAGCATGAAAACCTGGAGTGGAAGAAGAAAGCAGAGGAATAGCAGATTAACCAACCAGCCAAAGTTTTACCAAGAAGCTAGTTTGCTCATGTGCAGTAACAATAAAGGGGGAGTTCAGGAGTAGTACAGGTTGCCGAGGAAGCCGGTTTTCTTCTGGCCACCGGGCGCCGGCGCTTGGCCTTGCTTCAGCTCAAGGTTCTCTGGAGGCCCAGCGAAATAGTTTCATCAAGGGAGGATTATTACGAATTGCAGCAAAAACCGGGGAAAACACAAACTCAACAGCGATAGAAAAGCAAAAACAAACTGAATCGGCGTGGATCGCCGGTGAAGTTAGCGTCACCTACCATCAGGAGCGCTCCCTTTGTTCTGTACATCGGCAGCATCTTGTTGCTTGTCCTCGTAGTTGGCTGGACGGCCGACGAAGTAGCCTGTGCGTAGCAGAAGACAGAGCTGCTTAGCGCAAGGAATCGCAGGCAGGCCAGATCAGCAGATCTGATCTGACACGGAGGAGCGGGAGAATCTTGAGATGTGCCCGCCGTCGTCCATGTCGGATTCAAGACGTTGACCTACTGTTCCAGCGCGCAGAGAGGGAGAGAGAGACGCGGTGAGGAGAGATGACACGTACGTACCTCCGGGAGCCTGCGCGTCGCCCATGGCTGGTGGATCTGTGGCCGGTTAGGTGCCTGCGCCGCTCCTCTGCCGGCAAGGCTGAGGCGATAGAAGACGACGACCAAGACCGAGACGTAGGGGCCGGGACACAGCAAGCCCACTGTGTGTGTGTGACCACGTTCTTATCATTAGCACTAGCAGGCGGCCTCCAGCAGCTCAGTCAGTCCCCCAGGCTATCAGTGGTTCGATAACAACGTGATTAGTACGTATTAAAAACAACAAGGGCCAGCACCGGCCAAGTCAGCAACTCCATGATTGAATATGCAATCATCAGGTGTGCCCTGATTGATGGTACACTCATGCCGCACTCCACCATTGCAAAGGTGATAGGTGTATGAGAGGAATCAAAGTAGCCATGCTCAACGGGTTACATACATTAAAATGATGATGCTGGCACGTGGACGTCCGTCTAGGCGAGTTCCGTCCAAACGACTCGGGCTTGCCTAAAAAATAAAAAACACGGCGGCATTTTCTTTCCCTACTGTCGCACGCATGCGACTGCCGTGGGCGCATCCACCGCACCGCCCGCCCGCCGCTGGCCTTCTCCAACGCGGCGGACTTCCTGCCCGGACGCCGCGCGCCCATTCCGCCTCGCTGCTGCCACACGCCCATCCCACGCCGCTCACTCCCACCCGTCGCTCTCGCCCATCCTGCACTGCTCGCTCCCGTGCCCTCGCGCGCATCGCCTGCCCAGCCCGGTGATACTAGCGATGGTGGTTGTGGTGGTGCTCGCGTGGCGCCGGCTCCGACCCCGACGACTGGAATCGCCCGCCCCCCACTCCCCCATGTTACAAGCGCATGTTTCAAGTATTTCAGATGTTTTATAGGTATATTTCAAGTGTTTCATGCGAATGTGGCAAAAGTAGATCGGGATGTTGCATATGTTACAATAATTGTACACGTATGTTGCAAGTGTCTGTTCTCAATGTTTCATCTGTTTTTTTCAGACGTATGTTGCAAGTGTGTTTATCTGGATGTTGCATGTGTTTTACACATATGTTGCAAGTGTTTTGTCTGGATGCTACATATGTTTGCAATTGTTTTTCAAGTGTTTTCATGTGTTTTTGCGTGTGTTTCAGGCGTATGTTTTGAATGTTTCAGCTGTTTTGTATGTATATTGTAATTGTTTCTTTTGGATGTTTTAAAAGTAGATCGGGGTGTTATGCATGTTGCAATGTGAGCTACTGCTGCAGCTGCAGGCGCAGTAGGTGTGGAGGGGCGCGGGAAGAAAGGAAGCGTGGGAGAGTGGCACGAGCGGACCCCGCCTGTGCGTGCATCAGGCGTGGGCGGACGCAGGGGTCCGTCCGGACGTCAAGTCGCTAGTGCTGGCGATGTTAAATTTGATAAGATGTACATGTACCCTAAAGAAAACACAAACTTCAGGGTGCCAAAGCTCTTGAACTATAGATGATTTATTTCTTATCTATATCTATAGGCTTCGTAAACATATATAGTAGATCAAATCCTTGTTATTTAAAACAAGCTTCCATTTGACATAGAAACCGAAAATGCTAGCATAAAAAACTGCCTGCCCTAACAAACTAGTAATACATAATGATCATATCAATAATAATAATAATAATAATAATACATAAAAGCAACATCAATTCTGGTTCCAATACCCCTTCGCAACTGGAGATCGGAGTAAAAGGTGGTTTTTACCCTCGTCTTTATGTCACAAACTGAGAGAATGTAAGAGCATGTTTGCATTGTTGCTAGAGGAAACAGGGCCTAATTTTAGCCGTTTCCCGTCGGCGAGGATGTGATTTGGTTGCAAGCAGTGCAAGCCAAGATTTGGCTTGGGTTCTTCCGATATCCACGCTACGCTCATTTTTCAGCCGAAGAACGGCCGATCCGCGAGGCGGCTAATTCATGTGCCAATTTTAGTTCCTACTCATCTCAATTCACTTGGGACAACAATTTACATCCTGCGTCCTAGTTGACTCGAACAAGCATATACGATGTTGTTTGATTCGAAAAATGTAACATTATCTGTTCACGGAGCGGAATTGAAAGTGTTACATGCATTTGGTTAAGGCCAGGCCGCAATCAAGTACGACGTAATTAGATACCGGTCTATGCACCTTTGGTGTTGTTTGGTTGAGCAAAGGGAAAGGGAACACTAATGGAAACTATTCCCACCCGTAACTGTTGCACAACAATCGATTACGGCATCTGTTTGGTTGCCGTGGGCAATGCTTTCCATTCTATTATTCTTATTGGTTGGCAACCATGTAATAACCATTGCTGAAAACAATAAAATAAGATACTTTGAACTATCCTTGACTAAGAAAACAATAACTGAAGGCATATTTCAGCTGTTAGTGGCAGGACAACAGCAAGACAATACAAAGCATGTTTCAACAATAAGATACTTTGAACTATCCTTGACTAAGAAAATTAGAAGGGTAAGTAATCAAAATCTTAATAAATGATTCAAAAATCTCAACAAATGGTGTCCAAAATAACTTTTGACTAGTACAGTTTCAAAATGCATTATCCAATGCGAACTGAGCCTAGCTCAGTTGGTTAGGATCGGTGGAGCCTGCCCATCCGAGTTCAAGTCCTCGACTTGGCACGGGTGCTCGCATTGTCCTAGATTTATTTCAGGATTTAACGGTGTTGTACTTTCAGTGGTAGGTGACATTCCCGTCGACAGCGAGGCGCCTGTGGTGTCTTCGTCAATCTTGAGATGTGTCGGTACAGTCTTTCGGATGTGCTTATAGGGGTAGGGTTTGCGCACGTGTGTTCATAGGGGTGAGTATACGTGCGTGTTGAGCGTCTGCGTCTGTACTTGTGTAATTAAAAAAAATGCATTATGCAACCGTGATAGTTAGCAGGTGACAAAGGCGAGCTTCATTGGGCCGTGCGCTTGTCCTAACAGGGTGCGAGACCCAATGACATGGAAAATAGGCGAACTAAGGGCCTGTTTAGTTCCCAAAATTTTTTACGCAGTATCCATCACATCGAATCTTGCGGTACATGCATGGAGTACTAAATGTAGACGAAAAAAAACTAATTGCACAGTTGGGTGAGAAATCGCGAGACGAAACTTTCGAACCTAATTAGTACATAATTAGATACTAATTGCCCAATACAAACGAAAGTGCTACAGTAGCCAAAACCCAAAAAATTTTTTGTATCTAAACGCGCCCTAACAGGGTGTGGGACCCAATGTCCAGATACAGTAACTTTTTTTAACCAGCACTTGTCCACCCGGGTGTGGAACGTTTGTTGGGAAGCTCATCAGCTATGGCCACTATGGTATGCTGGGCCCTCTAACCGGCTGTCGGCCTGTGGCTCATCTAGCTCATTCGTACCAATGAGCAATACCTGTATATACAGTGAATTTACAAGAAAGAACTTTCAAAGTTGAGTTTGTTTATTTTCAACTACGCGATAGGGCAGCACACAGTGAAGACAAGAGGTAAAAAAAAATCCGATCTACGTCACAACCTCATTGTCATTAAAATTTACAACCAGAAACCGGAACGGTTGAACATAGCAAAACTAGACAATATATACGGATTGGGTACCAATCTTTCTTAAATTTGCACATTGGAGTGAAATGAACACGGCGTATCAAATTCCGGGACACTCGTGAAACAGAACATGTTGCATAGACACAGAACCTGCAATTCTGGTAAGGTCGAGGGTTCGTTGTCGCCCGCCCCTGCCCAAATTGCTGTGCTGAATCTTGCGATCGATCACGCCGCCGCTGGGCTTGCCGATCGATCCCCTAGTTTGCAACTTGTCCTCCGCGGAGACAAGGGAACCTGCCGCAAGAAATACGATTAGCCACGAACGCTAAGCGAAGAATTAAGCAAATTGACGAGGTGCGTGGGTTCAGCAGCAGGAGTATATACCATTCCATGAAGCTTCTTGATCGCTTGAGGTCACCGGCCGGCCGTGCTGGTTCGGTCGCCGCCGTCGCCACCTGCGGCCTAAGGTTCTCCGGTGTCCCGACGAAGTAATCTTTATTCGTTTCAAAAGGCAAAGTTACTATACATATTCAACAAACTCGATAATGGTGTGGTGCGTGGCTGCGTGCGTTGCTGTGGGTCGTCAGTGGAGCATGCATGTGGCGTAGTACCTCCGGGGATCTGGGTGTTGGCAAGCTTGGGTTCAGCGGCAGCCGCCTGCGGCTGGTCGTCCGCCTTGCTCGCCGGCCGGCCGATGAAGTATCCTATGTAGTATATGTTCGTAGCACGGCAAACCAAAGATGATTAGCGAGAGAAAGAGAGGGATGGAGCGAGACTGTGAACTTTGTGGCACACACCTCCAGGAACAGAGTCGCCCATGGCTGATGGGATCGATTATGTGGCCCAACAACAGCCGCCTGCACTGCTCCGCCGGCGGGACGATGACGGCGACGGCCAAGACCAAGACACGGGGGAGGAGGAGGCGCCCTCACCACGCTTTATCAGCAGGGCGTGCTCCGACCCCGTCGGAAGAGATGGTTTCCGGCCCCAGGCTGGCGGCAGTTGTCACCAGCCGGAGGTTAATAGGCGACGACCGACGAGCCGCCGACGACCAGGGCCGGCCGAGTCAACCAATTCTCTCGGCTCATCATGCGTCATATGGTGCACCATTGGAGCAAAAACACGCCAAAGCCGAACAATAGTTGGCCCGCCTCACCATTGCAATGGGCCCATGGAAGGGTCCACAGCATTTCATCCACTTTCAAGTTCCACCAAGAAAAAAGTCAATATTACCTCCACCAAGCATATGATATTATATGTTCACAATGCAGATCTACTCATGTGGAGTCCAACCCAAGATTGAATTTATCATTTTATGATTTTTCTGTGATTTACTATGATTTTTTTAAAGATTCAGCTAAAATAAATAAAAAAGAAAAAAAGACAAAACTGCCTTTGAAAACCGTTTATAACCGGCCAGGGAGGTAAAACAAACTGTTTTAAAATTTCAGGGAGGTGGTTTACCCGGTTTTAGAGTTCAGAGAGGAAAAACAGACTTTCGTA